GGACAGAGAACCCTTGTGGGTTCTCAGACCGTCGACGAGAGAGCATGAAGATGGTGGTCGTAAGACAGACCAAGAGCTAGCTACGGACAGCGTGACTATAAGTACTCGGAACTAATCATATCTAGACTAATCTACTCTGATCTCGGCGCCTCGCGTACTGTCTGGACATACATCGGCATCCAGCAGATCAACCCGGAGGTTGATATTTCAAGTTTGTATGGGATGTAGGTCTCGATTATGTTATACGGACACAGGTAGCACGGATGTTATAACGTACACAGGCTCCGAATGTACACCTTGTCTGAAGACCACTATCATCCGAGTGTCTGTGTGACTAGCCGAGTCCCAGTACCTACATCTGGTGACCACCGCACTTCGAACCACCAGCAGCCTCCAGATTCCAGAGTCTGATCGCTACCGATTGCGTCGACAAGTCCACATTGTCCGTTATCACTCGCCATCACCGTCACCGTATTCCACGCATTGCGCATCGTTTGAACAGCCGTACATCAGAGGATTTGACATTGGGATGAGGAGAGAAGTGTTTCCGAATGTTCTGGTCGTGAAGGAGGGGATTGTAACAGGCCAGGCAGAGTTGGACGGTCAACGGACCGAGTATCCGCTTTGAGAGCGCTGGGAGCCCAACATTCCGAGACGGCATAGATCATAACAGGCCAGGGAGGTTACGAAGAGCGCCGAATGCTCACCTCTACGTTCTGGGAGCCCAATGATTGCCACTCATTCCTCACTCGACATATGTTTCCGCCACCACCACCGATCACATTCATTCCATCCAACACCCACCGCTATCATTGATCGCTATTGCATTCTGCTTTGCGTTGGTGTAGGCATCCAGCAGATCAACCCGGAGGTTGATATTTCAAGTTTGTATGGGATGTAGGTCTCGATTATGTTATACGGACACAGGTAGCACGGATGTTATAACGTACACAGGCTCCGAATGTACACCTTGTCTGAAGACCACTATCATCCGAGTGTCTGTGTGACTAGCCGAGTCCCAGTACCTACACCGGTGCATCATCACGACCCTCCGCCACCGCCGTGTTCGTCACTACGACCGCGAGCTTGCAGAAGAAGCCGTCAGCGGACCCGCACCCATCTACCTCAAGGCTCGATGACAACGACAACGACAACCTCAGCACGGGCTATGGCGCCGGCCGCGCGTGGTTTGTATTGAGTGCGCGTGTCTTCGCGTGGTTTACTCAGTGTGTACTATCAGGCGCCCGCTTCTCGTCTATACAAGCTTTTATCAGTGTTCGCGCTGTTTCTCAGGAGCTGTATTTCCTGTGAATGAATGAAGCATTTCGTTTTATGAAAACCCACTTCGCTCCCGTCCGCCAGCGGCCAGACTGTCCCCCATTGATTCTTTGCCTCTCACTATGATGGGTCAACAAACGAGTGCAGCGCATTCCGGCGTGTCAGAAGCTCGCGTGGACTGATTCGAAGGCCAGATAAGTATCATGGCCATAACCTGTGTTTCCATTAGCGAGAGAGGCATCGAGCATGTACTCACCTTCAAAACATTCTGTTGTAGTTATGTATTACACCTATAAATCGATGTCGACAAGAAAGGTTTGTGCCTCGCCGCTTGTCGGCCCATGCCCAATCAAGTAACAGTATTGATTCGGTATCGAAACCTCGGCCGAGGTATCAGTACAGTTTCGATACTGACACGTGACAAATTCACGTGATGGCGCACTGGCCCTCAGGCAAGCTGAAAGTGGCGGGATAAGGGCGGGCGGAGGGCGGCGAAGCGGTGCGCCACATCACGTGGTAAAAGCACGTGCCGGTATCGAAACCGTTACTAACGGTTTCAAAACCAGGGCCTCCTGGGGGGTTGGTATCAATACCGTTACTAACACCCCCCGAGGTTTACTGCGCCACCCTACTGCGCAACCCTATCGTACGACGTAGATCTTTCAAAAAGAAGACAAAACAGACGGTTCTGGATTTACTCAACTGCCCCAGTGAGGCTCGAACTCACGACCTTCCGATAGTCAGATAACAGTCGGACGCTGTAACCAACTCAGCCATGGGGCATGTGTTGATCGATATTGCTCATGCCTTACGAGAAAATTTCAGTCAAACTAGATGGATGCTGCATGCTGCTTCACTAAACCCATCCCAATAAATACTACATACCATACTTCAACTCTGATTTGCCGCGCTGACCCACTCCATGTCTACATCTACGTCATGAAGCCATTTGCCCAATCCCACAGGAAAGTCGAGAGACTTGCGCGGAAGGTTCAGCGTATACGAGCCTTCGGGCGATGGGAATTCAAACGAGGGTATAAACCACGCCCATGCAAGGAACAGCTACATCGGATTGTCAATACCGGTTCTCACAGCGTGATACGACTAACCTGCCCCATATACAACTTGATCCTTATCTCTCGCCTCGCGTCCACGATGACTTCCGGCGATTTCAATGTGTACACCTTCAACTCGCCTTCCAGGACCTATGACAGTCGTTAGTATAAAGAGTGTCGGAATACTAAAAGTCACAAACATCTTCCTTTTCCTCCATCTTCGCAAACCGCCTCACCATCTTGCCTTGTCCCACTTGCCCTCATGGCCGAATATTTCATGCCCAATCCGTCCTGCTCGGTTAACGTCGCCAACGTGCGTTTCCAAAAGCTGGACCAACTCGTCATCATACCGCGCCAGACTGACAGTAACCGATCCTCTGACGAGACGCGGTGGCGGGTACATCCGAAGCGTGATTTTGGTGATACGTACGCGCCCAGAGGGAGATTGGGGCTGGGGGGAGAGCATGCGCGCGTAATAGTGCAAGTAACGCCTTTGGCTGGGTATGCTCACGCCCTGTTTGGCCTTCTTCCCATCCGTCGCTGGTTTCATGCGACGGGAAGTATGTAACGCGAGAATACCGTGCAAGGCTTCGGTTGTCGTATGGGTGGACTTGGAACTTTCGGTAGATATACGCGTAGAAGGGGGTACGGAAGAGGCGATTGTTGGGGCGAGGGTAGATGTAGGGACGATGGTGCTAGCGGGAGTAACGGTCCCAATGGTGGATGCAGGAGTAATCTGCTTTGGCGATTCCGATATTTCCTCAGTATCTGTAACATTCTGGGATTCTGATTGCTCGACGTGGGCCTCGTCATCATCTTCAAGAGTCGGTACAGCATCAATGAGTTCGTCGGCGCGCTGATCAGCCGATTCGTCCGTCGATGCTGCACGAGTCTTTTGGTCCATCGACATTTCTAGGAGCAGATACGCGCATGCCATTGTGCCCGAACGGCCCTTTCCAGCTAAATGCGCCAGCGTGTCAATAAAAGCCTGGTATTGTGAACCTCAGTCACGCACCTTTGCAATGTACAACTGCCACCCTGTCTTCGGACCCCGCCAGCCACGTCCTTATCTCGGAAGCAATGAGAGGAAGATATGCAACTGGTGGTGCGTGATGATCAGGCCAAGGCCACCTACTAACCCGCCCATCAAATACGCTCTCCTCGTACCCGCCCCCACTTTCACTGAGAGGGCAAAAGTTCCACACCCAAAATGCCTTTCCATGGCGTTCAGTAAGGAAACGTTTAACGTCGGCGCGGTTGTTGCGGTAAAGACCCTCGATGCCTGAGGCGGGGTAGCCCATAATAATCAGGCGAGGGTTGACATAGACGAGATCGAGCTCGACGTCGAGCTCAGCGTCGGTGAAGCGTGCCTTTGGTCCAGAAACGAGGCGGCGAATGTACGAGGTCATTGTAACGGTGGTTGATTCGGAGGTGAAAGGAGGAATTTAAGGCCGGTCATGGTGGTGACGTCAAGAGCGGTGCTCACTGCTCACTGCTTTCGGCGACGTCCCGACTGCTTGCAGTGACGACAATCACTGTCAATGGGAGCTAGCTTGAATAATGGTAAGGCACTGCATACCTATATACAATTGGTGACATTAGACGCATTGTAGGACAATTGTAGGAGTCAAAAAAGTTTAACATCGTTTCGTCCCAAGTAACATAATTCCAGTTGTATGCGCGCGCCCAACTAAGGACTGAGCCCTCTAGTGTTGTCGCAGATCCATGCGGTGGTGGTGGTGGAAGGATAGCCCTCGACTTGTGGTTAAGACGACAGGATTTCGGACCACATGTGCCCATCTCACACTGACGCGTCGGATCGCCTACTCAAGGGACCAACCTCACACTAATAGGAAAACGACCAGCATTCCTCACTTCGTGTACCCCCACCGCGAAGCAAGGCAGGGCAATCATTCATTGTGTGAAGTATGAAGATAAATAAGTACAAAAATACAAATCTATGTCAACATACAATTTAAAAGAGTCACTGTCAGAGACATCTCCGATACAAACTGACCAGGATACCAGTGTTGGCACCAATCCGACTGTCCATGACTGCACGCGATCCCGTAGACAGGGATAAAACTGCACAAACATTGTCATTCCAACACCTACTAGCCGTTTCTCCCATAAGCGTGGGCCAAAAACCCATAACACAAGAAATGCTGGAAACATACCTGGCTGGTTTCCTCAGCTCCGCCGCTCAGCGGCAGTACGCCATGGCGGGACCGGAGATTCCCGTCCACCGCGCGAGCGCATATGCGGCCTCCTCATTGGACATGCCATCGAAGACGTTGCGGTCATCGTCGATATCATGGGCCGCACGCCGAGTCGTATTCCCGCGGCGCGGGAGCCCGGTTGGCGCGGCAGCGGCCGTTGCAATGGAGTCCGCAAGCGCCTGCGTTATTAGTTCAAAAAAAGTCAGGTCAAGACATGGCACACCTGGACGTCGCAGCGATTGTAGAACCGCATCGTCTGACCGCTCTTGTACGGGTTCGGCAATACTTTGACGGGCTTGAGGCGGTCCATTTGGCAAGATTTGAGCTTCGCAAGGAACCTGTTAGTTTCATGCAGCTGGGAAGCGAAACACGACGAACCCCAAAATTATTCATCGCAGTCGTCCGCATGATCTGCGGGCCGTTCGCGACTGCCAACTCCGTGGTACTAGTAGATTCGGACGCTTGGGAATTGGTACGAAGGCGCTGAGCGAGCTCCTCGACATCCTTGCGGTTGTACTTCTTCATGCGCATGCCGTACTGGCGGGGGTTTGGGTCGTCAGTGATGGGCAGGATAGAATCGAGATCCGATGAGGCCAGTTTGTAGGTCTTTATGGCGTCTGTCTTGGTGATCCAGCGCCCGGAGCGCTGGGCCAGTTTTGGCGTCGTTATTTTCGGCATGGCGGTAAGAGGCAAGAGTAGTTGTGGCTGTACCTATACAATTGAATTGGTGACATGTAGGAGCCAAAAATGGTTATATTGCGCGTGCGTTCGCGATCTACAGCAGGCTCTGAATGGGAGACACGGACTCGTGCACCGGCACAAGGAGGATCATCCTTCTGGTCGTCGATGAAGGTGATATCTGATGAATGGTCGTCGAATGAGTCTGGTTGCTGAAATAGTACTGTGTCAGAACTTGCTAACGAAAACTGAAAGATGAGCCAATGAACTCACCACCACATAAAAGCGTATTTCCTCTGGTTGCAAAAACGCTAGCTTTAGAGTCCTCCTCCTCGTCAGGAAACTTCATGACGTCGATTACCTCTTGATCTCCTTTGTCCAGGGAAGCTGGTATTGGGACGAGCTAAGAAATATAATGATGGTCGCATTGCGAATGACTTAACAGCGTTCACCTACGTGAGGCGACGGCTCCTCTTCCTCAAAGGAGACCAGATCTATCACTTCATGGTGGGCGGGTGCGAGTGAAACAACCGGACTCGTCCCATGGGCGCGCCCAACTAAGGACTGGGCCCTCTGGCGTTGTCGCAGATCTATGCGGCATGCAGAAACGCGAGACGCGTCAAAGCGTGAATTCTTCCTCTCCAAGGCCCATTACGAGATGAACGTAGCGAGTTGACACGCCAAGCAAGACGCGTTAAACTCGGACAGTGGTGGTGGTGGAAGGATATGTAGCCCTCGTCTTGTGGTTAAGACGACAGGATTTCGGACCACGTGTGTGCCTGGCATCTCACACGCGTCCAGGCCGATCGCGATTCGCCTTCCCCCGCTGGTCCCCAACCTCACACTAGGAGGACGGCCAGCATTCCTCATTTCGTGTACCCCCACCACGAAGCAAGGCAGGGCAACCATTCACGGGTATGAACATAAGAGCATGGCCAAGAGCACGAACACAAAACCACGGACAAGAGCACGGACCACGAAACCACGGACAAGAGCACGGACACAACCACGGGCGATCTGTTCAAGATGTAAACAACTTGAACCCGAGAGCACTCACCTCAACAACAGCGGCGGGGACGGCTGGTGGTGCCACTGCCACTGTGGTGGTCAGGGTGAAGCATGGTGCCAGTGGTGGGCATGTTGATAGCAGGCACACGGGGCTGGCGACGAAGGATGATACAACAGAGACACTTGCACAGAAGCATACATAACCTTGGGGCGGCTGGTTGAGTTGGTGGAAGAAGGAAAAGGCGCGAATCGCCCAAAACAGAAATAGACCCCGTACCGCTCTTACTACCCACCACGATGTTACTTCTGCCCCCGTGGCACTCGCCTGAATCAATTTTGCGCAACTCCATCTTCTGCGCCGGACGTCGGCACAAATAGTAAAATCTGGGCAAACCCATTGGCTTCGCCTCCCTGCAGGTCTCTGTCAAAAAGCAGCCTATCTGAGGCTATGACTATGAAATGCGTATATGGGGATGCATGGGCATCAAAAAGAACGTCGAATCGTGGTAACACGATGCCATGGGTTCCCAGTGGGTTCCAAGGACGTATGGACAAGTCGAGCTGCAAACTCAAGGCTTCTGGAATGATACGCGCCTCGCAGGTTTTCAGGATTTGAAGTTCATTTCGAAAATGACTCTCCCTCGTCGCGAGTTCGATCAACACAAATTAATCAGGACCCCAACCATTTTCCATCAGATGTTTTTCAAGTCCTAGACATACGGGGCTACAGGCGATATGATATAATAAGGATGGAGGTCGCTGAAATCCACGGGAACCCGCATCCACAATGTCCTTCACCTCGACTACGGTGAAAGACTTTCTT